CAGGGACCATCCCACCTCGCCTTCTGCTAAGATTCAGAAATCAGAAAACCCAGGGGAGTTTGGATTTCTGAGCAGTGGTCACAAGCATGTCAAAAACCTGCAAAGACTCAGCTCTTGCAGGCGAGTTTGTAACAGTAATCAGGGGCAGCATACCTACTGCGTGCTCCATTGTAGGTGTAGTTTTATAACTGCGTCACGACAAGCAAAGTGATATATATTATAAATTAAAGTAGCACCAAGTTCTAATTTGGAGGGAACATCCTTCCTTAAAAAGTGATAGCCCAACCAAAACTCAAGATACAGCCACGGTACATCGCTGGATTAAAGAATTACCTTCGATCCAGCCTTCCTATTTGTTTTTTAAGCTTACCTTAGTTGGGGAGAGTTTGACATGTCAGTGCTCCATCACTGCAGTGGGCAAGGCCGGGGAGACCAGTGCCGGTGTATATATATACAGGGGCGCCTGAGGTCACTTGGCCTCAGCCTTGCCGCTTGCTCCCATTCCATCCTACTGCTCGATCTAGCTACTTCACATTCAGCAGCAGGACAAACCACCGCATCTTGTTCTTCGATCGATTTGTTTGGATCAGCACAGCACAGCACAGCACAGGAGGAGATGAAGATGAGGACTCCTGCTATCGCCTTTGCTGCTCTTCTGATGCTGCTGCTTCTGGCTACAAGAGCACATGGTATGCTTGCTTCTTGCATGGCCATCTCCTCCATTAGTGCTCCTTGTGAGGTGTATCCGTCCTGGACTGATATGACCATGCATATTCCTCTCTATTTCTCTAAGCAGGAATCAGGCTGGACAGGCAGTTGCATGAAGCAATCGACAGCAAGGTCAGTTCAGTATACATATACCATACACGAGCTACTGTGATCGAAGCACTTCTTCCGATCCTACCGTATGAAATTAGACCAGATTTGCAGTTTTGCTTATTTTGCTGTCTTCTCTCCGTGACAACCAGAAGATGGCCGACCCCAAGACCGGAGATGCCGAAGCATCCGTTGCTGGCGACCCGGTGAAGAAGCACTGCACTCCCGATGGGCGTTGCTCAGGTACAACGAAGCAGATGACCCCTACTCCTCCTGTTGTTGCCAGGGATAGCGAAGTGATGATCAGTGCGCATGCGGCGCCGAGGTTCCATGAGGATTACTATGGACCAAGTGGCCATGAGCCTAATCACCACTGATCAAGCTGTTCGAGCAAACCATTTCTACCTCTACCCTTTTTCTTAGCCTAGCTACCCGTAGTCGTTCTTCTCTCTCCATGCTTCTTCACCATCTTGGCCTGGAGAATGTAAAGGGAGAAGCTAGCTAGCTAGCTGTAGCATTGTTCTGTTCCGCACCAGGTCAATATCTCTGTTTTTTTTAATGGAAAGGTCAATATTTCTGTTATGTATGAGTACTTGTAATCTAGTTGATTTAAGCACATTTTAGCTCTGCACACAGCTTTGGTCTTTCCTGCTCGAAATTTTCTTCATATATATTCTCTCTGTGGATGCTTGCATTTATTCACGTGCGAGACCAACCCACGGTTCCACTCTCAGGACAGCACGTAACGGTACTAGCAAGAACAAGAAATAGGAAATTCAGCGTGTCAGTCGGCGGCTACGGCTATGGCTAGGCATTAGTACAGTAACATTTTACACGCAACCCTTTGGTCCCGTGCAGTAGTCAATTGCATCAAGCTGGGGCATAGAATATACGCTAGGCAAGCTTTTGGCATCTTTTTTACCTTCCGCACCAGTACAACAACTTTTTAATGTAACAGGTGGTTTATTTGTAACCTTTGATGTTGCAGGAAAGGTGAAAAAGGCACTGGCGCACGCTGAAGCAGCAGCGGAAGCGAAGCAGCAGGTCGGTGTGCGTTTTCAGGCTAGCTAACTTTCAGCCACCATCTGAACATTCTCACAGTGTCATGCCATGCATGCACACATGCATGTTCTGCTTCTCATGCATGGAACTCCCACTCATGTTTTATACCCACTTCTTGGATCTCAATCTACTTATGTACGTACAGAGCAATTCGACGGGAAATGATCACCACACGGCGGTGGACATCAAGGCCGCCACGCAGCAAGGGCGCCGTCACGAAGCGGCGGAGGCGACGTCGTCCTCGGCTTCTTCTTCCCCGGCCCCGCCGGGCGTGGCGGCGCGGCAGACGTACCCGGACATCATGGACATCGCCGGCATGGACTACTCGCCCGCCACGCGAAAGCCTCCCATCCACAACTGAACGCCGGGCTTGGTGGGCTACGAATCGAAGATCACCAGCAGCACGTGAGTGGTGCACGCAGCACAAGTGCTTGCTACACAGGCCTATGTAGCTAGTGGTGCTTGAGACTGGCCTATTAGCTTTGTTTGTTTGTTTGTTCATTAGATTAGCTGCTAGCCGTAGTAGCTAGCGAGTGCTCGATCGACCCGGTCCGCCGGTCAGTCCTGCTGATCCTGAATAGAATAGCGCGCGTACAGTCTAGTGTGACCCATCGATACTGGACAGCATCGCAGGAAATGCTGCACCTTTTGTGACGACGATACTAGTACAAAAGCTTGCTTGGCGTTTTTCATCTCGAGTCCCCCGCGGATCGACGACGTACCGTGCTCTAGTTTTGACCGCGCTACTATGCTGTACGTACTCAATTACTCATCATGACCCATCGACTTGTAATGTGCTCATTAGTACTACTTTGTCAGTAGCCAAAGCTTCCAATCAGACCAGGGGACGGGTTGGTGCGGCGGCCGGCCGGCGATCGACAGGGAACCCACATGCGGCTGTGCGCGCTCGATTAATTAGGCGGCCGGGTGGTGGGTTAAGCCGTAGCGGCGTGCAGTGCCGGCGCGCGGAGCCCCCGTCCCCAGACGTGCGTGCGTTGCTGGGTTAACAGTGGGGGCCGGCACTGCGCGTTCCTGTCGCGCGCCCGCCGAGCCGTGTCGCTTTCCGGCCGGGCGGCGAGGCCAGCCGGCTGGGGGGCACCGGCAGGGACGTACGCGCGAGCGGGCGTCTGATGCGGTTGCGCCGCGCGCGCCCACTCCTGCGACGGCGACGCGGTCCGCGAGCTGGGCGGCAGCCCGGGCGGGACAGCCGCGCGGTGCCGGGTGACGGCACGGCGCTGCGTGCTAACCTGTCTCTGTACGTCCGTCGACCGCATTGCTCGCGTACGCCACGCCACCGCGCAATAAGGCCGGCCCGTAGAAAAACACTGCATGCGCCACGGCACGGCACACATGCGGGCACAGAGCATGATGGTGATATTGGTGGACAGGCAATGGGATGCTGCGTGACTGTTACCACTGTAACGACGGCCAGAGGCTGTTACTGACGTACCGCTACAGCTTTCGACGATCGGGTCTTCAGTCGATCTTGACTCCGATCCTCTGCGTACGCATGCATACGCATGATGCGTGCTTTGGGACGTGTATCTACAGTAGTCTCCAGACCAGGGGCAGTCATGCAGAATAGTGGAAGCACCGGCCGGACGGAACACGGAACGCGCGTATAAATTCAGCTCTGACGGGGGAGCCTTTGTTTAGTGCTTTACTGTAGTCTGTGCTCGCGTTTTTGTATGGCTGTACGCTGACAACCACCTGACGATGTTGATGATTGCCTGCCCAGCCCAGCTGCCCTGACTGCGCCGTTCTGATGGATCGGAAGCGAGGGATATAAGCAAGTCGCAGCGGCGGGCCGGGCATCGCGGAACACGAAGGATGGATAGGTTTTCTTCAGCGCGCGCCCATCCTGCTGCTCGAATGCATATCCTATCTTGCTCGATCAGAGATCAGAGAAGACTTGGCAACCTCCTGTTGTTTTGTTTTTTAACGTGTATAAAATACTCGGGACAAACTGGAAAACCAAACTGTCTCCTTGGATATACTATTACAGTACCATGCTGGATTGCAGCGGAGGATGCACAGAGCGTCTCAGAGCAGGAATGGGTAGAAAAAAGTTCAGAGTTGAGTGAGGCTGTTATATTTTTCAGTACTAAACCTCGTCCCAAAAGAGTACAATCTATACTTGGACCAAATCAAATTTAAATAAATTTATAGAAATTTAAGTCCTCAAATAGATTCATTATGAAGATGTATTTTATAATTAATCCAATAATACCTACTCTCTCCGTCCCAAATACGTGCACATCTCACATCTCGAAGACTCAACCGATCTCGAGTTTGATTTTTTTTATAGAAAATAGTATTGACATTTATATCGCTAAACAGCTTTACTTTGAAGGCGTGATTAATTTAATGAAGTTTATTTGGTATCATAACCTTAGTACATTTTTGTATATATTTATTCAAACTTGAGATTGGTTGAGTTTTCGCGATGCAAGATGTATACTTATTTTGGGACAAAGGGAGTATTTGATATTATAATGTTAATATATTTTGTATTGATTTAGTTAAATTTAAAACTTTGACTCTTCAAAAACAGAGACGGAGACCTATTTTTTCCATTGGCCAAAGTCAAACCAAAGACAACTGGAGTATGAGTTTTTTTTTTTTTTTGAGTGGAAACTGGAGTATGAGCTGAGAACAAAAGATTGATTCACTTGACGGCCCGGCCTAGACTTTTTGAGAGGTCTCGGCCCATTGCTGAGAACTTCCTGTGATTCTAGATTGGGCCCAATGGATCGAATGACGGGCCGAGCAAGCCTCGAGAAGCAAATGCAATGCACGCGCAGGCGCAGCTGAATCGATCGCTGCTATTTTTGGAGGCGCCCTCGTGTGGCTGAATCGTCTTTCGTGTTGCTATTTCTGGCATGGCTGTTTTGGAGGCGCGGCAGCAGGTCGGTACCCTCCTCCGTCTCCGTCCGGCCCTCGCCACCACCGCACTCCCATCTCAGATGGGAGTGCGCAAGAGGAGCATTCGGCATTCCGGTCTCGATCGACCTGCCGGATCCCCCTGAGAATTCCCACCCACCCCGAGGGCGTCGTCAGGCCGTCGGGGCCAGCTGATTTCACACGCCAGGGCGGCGAGACGGCCGGCATTTCGTCCTCCGATGGCGCCGGCATCCCCCTCGTCCGCCGGCGTTGCGCGTCTCGTCCTGCTCCTGATCCTCGCCGGCGCCTCCGTCGCGCACGGCTCGTTCCAGGCTAGGCGTGCTCTGTCAGGTGCGCCACGTGGGCTCTGTGGCTCTGTGCTCATGCCTTCCTCTGGTTCCTCAGTTACAGCTCATATATAACTTTGTGCCTTGAATCCGAGCAGATGGCCAAGGGAGGGGGATAATGGCGCTATGGAGGAGGTCGCTCGCCGACGCCGCCGCTGCGCCTCCAGCGAACAACTCCCTCGTCCTGGCTGCGGCGAGGACTCACCGGAGCGACCCCTTCGCCAACCTCACCGCGTACAGCGGCGGCTGGAACATTAGCGACGAGCACTACTGGGCTGTACGGCACATCACATCACATCACATCCATTCGTCTCATCTTCTTCCTCTCTCGCTCACCACCCCCCGCGCTTCCTCTGCATGCAGTCCGTGGCGTACACCGCGGTGCCCCTCTTCCTCATCGCCGTGCTGTGGTTCGTCGGCTTCGGCGTCGTGCTGCTCGTCATCTCCTGCTGCTGCTGCTTCTGCCGGAGCAAAAGCAACGCCTACTCGCCGGGGTGCTACTTCAGCTCCCTGGTGCTTCTCATCGTCCTCACCATGGCCACAATGTGACTGCTCCTTTCTTCAACCACGCATGTTTCCTTTAAATGTCGCCATGAATGAATGAAAAGAAAGATCGTGCGTGTATGAGCTGACGATCCTACTCGTTTCCCTTCCACAAACTGCCGGTTCCTCCAGCGCCGGGTGTCTGATCTTGCACGGCGGCAGCGATCTGTTCCACGGGAGCACCATCAGGACCGTCAACTACGTCTTCGGGCAGGGCAACCTGACGGTGGACCACCTGAGGAACTTCGCCGGCAGCTTGGCGGCGGCGAAGAACATCACGATCGACCAGATCTTCCTCCCAGCTGATGTCCAGCAGAAGATCGATATCGTCGAGGAGAAGCTCAACTCTTCCGCGAACATCTTCTCCACTCGGATGCAGGAGAACTCCCGGAAGATCAAGAGAGTGCTGAACCACATGTGCGTATCGATGGCGGCTTAACACGATTTGCATTGCAGCCCATTTTATTTTGCTCTGAATTTTCATGGTCTCAACAAAGATCAACAGACTGGGGGCGTTTCTAATAACCACATGTCCTTTCATTTTGCTGGTTTTAGGGAGCACGAATTGATGGCTGTTGCAGCTGTTATGGCTGGCCTTTCAGTACTCGGATTCCGTAAGCATTAACCTCTGACATGATTCTGTTTTCAGCTACAGGAGTCCGGGGCCCTCTGGTTTCATGATCTGAATTCTGAACTTGTTTTTTTGTTTTTGGCAGTGTTCTCCATACTGGGGTTGCGGTTTCTCGTCTCCATGTAAGTAGTTATTACAGTATCGTGTAGTACCATTCATTTTATTTCAGATAAGGAATTGCACTTAAGCACATAGCTGACTAGTTAACATCTAACCATGTTTAGTGAAATCTTCATGACATTCGTCTCCGGCATGCCCGTCATTTCACCATTGTTCATGTCAATTTCTCATCCTTCTCATACCTCTGCAGATGGGTGCTCGCTGCATGGATCCTTCTCACCAATACCATCATCAGTTCTGGTCTTTTCCTCCTCTTGCACAAGTAATCTTTGTTCTCTGAAATTCTGGACATGCAAATGCAAATGCAGCAGTATATTGCAGCATGCTTCGTTCAGGCACTAACAGAACGGGCCGTTCCGTGCGTGGCAGCGTGGTGGCGGACACGTGCGTGGCGATGGGCGATTGGGTGGCCCACCCGCAGGCGCACACGGCGCTGGACGACATCCTCCCCTGCGTGGACGTGGCGACGGCGAACGAGTCGCTGTACCGGAGCCAGGAGGTGACGGCGCAGCTGGTGGCGCTGGTGAACAACGTCGTCGTCAACATCTCCAACCGGGACTTCCCGCCGGGTCTCCGCCCGCTCTACTTCAACCAGTCGGGCCCCCTCATGCCCGTGCTCTGCAACCCGTTCAACCCGGACATGAGCCCCCGCCGGTGCGCGCCCGGCGAGGTCGACTTCGACAGCGCGGCGCGGGAGTGGAAGCGGTTCGAGTGCCAGACCACGGGGCCGCCGGGGTCGGAGGTGTGCGCCACGCCGGGCCGCATGACGCCCGCGGCATACGGACAGATGACGGCGGCGACGAGCGTCAGCAAGGGGCTGTACGAGTTCAGCCCGTTCCTGGTGCAGCTGCAGGACTGCTCCTTCGTGCGGGAGACGTTCTCGTCCATCAGCAACAACAACTGCCCCGGGCTCGAGCAGTACAGCCGGGACGTCTACATCGGCCTCGTCGTCATCTCCGCCGGCGTCATGCTGTCCGTCGTCTTTTGGATGGTGCACACACGGCACCGGCGGCGGCGCGCCATGTGCAAGCACCTGTGACTGAGATCTTGATATGGCGTGCCGGTGCCACGTTTGAGCTTGAGCTGTTCTGTACTGACAACCACGGCTGCTTTGTACATGAAGCCTCGTGCATCCGATTCAGCTATGTACAGTATGGTATTGTGCATCTGAAAGTGAAAACCGCAATGACGCACGTGGTGTGGTTGCTCTCTTGGGTCATTCTGCGACTGGTATCATGGCTGTCTGTGTTTGTTGGTTGTCGATTGTCATAGACGCACTGGGAAGAACAACGGAAGCGCCCCCATAAGTCCGATCCGGGCGCTAGCATCCGGATGCTGCCCGCACATAGAGCGAACGAGCGTCTAGCGTGTCGGACTCAAGAGGGAGCGCACCAGTAGTGGTCCTGCGCCGCCCTGATGTCGCCCACACTGCCCCGGACGTCGTCCGCACCGCCGCCGCTTCCCACGTCCATCCCATGTACAACACGCGGTCTACTTTTGAAACATCCAGATGCAACAGTTGCAACATACAAAAGAAGACAGATGAAACACTTGAAATAAGCGTCTGAAACACTTGCGAAAACGCCTAAAACCATTTGAAAACCATTGCAAACATATGCATGATCAAAATAAAACACTTGCAAACATATGTATGAAACACCCGAAGACACCTTGAAACATATGCTTGCAACATGTATGTTCATATATGCAACATCTAGATCTACTTTTGCAACATCCAGACAAAACAATTGCAACATTCTTCTGGAACAGATGAAACATTTGAAACATACGCTTCAAACATATGTGTATATCCATTATAACATGTGCAGCATCCTGATCTACTTTTGCAACATCGATATACAACACTTGCAACGTAACCTTGAAAACATCTGAAACATACTACTACAACATGCGCTTTTAGCGCAGTATATGTGTTGCTCCTTGGACGAATGGATGCTCGTCGACGCGGAGCTCGACGTTGGCACGGAGCTTGAAGCCACGGAATGGCGCGGAGGTCGCCGGTATGGAGTTTGTCAATGGCACGGACCTCGGCAGGGGCAGGGGCAGGGGCAGGCGGATGGAGCACGACCATGACGGGAGGCACGAGTCCAGGAGCGAGCTAGCGAGCACCTAGCGCGTCGGGCTCACCGTGCACGGCGCAGGCGAGGACAGGGTCCGTCTCACGAGCAGAGTGAGCAAGCGACGCGAACGGGGACGGGGTGGACGAGTGATATATGGGCGTTTCCAAAAGAACAAACGTGGGTTGTTCAGAGTTGGGAAGTCCGTGAACTCGGACTCGGAGTAAGGACAAGTAATCGAGAACACGTGGGACCCTGATTTGGTTATATGATATCTAGAAATGGCCTAATCATCGGATCATTTTCCTCGCTGATACTACTTAACATCCCAAGACAAAAAGAAAAAGTCCTCAACGCCATATATGATGCCCCAAACAAAACATGGCTCATGTCCATGTCATCCGGATCATGTGGATCAACTTTACTCCTCCATTCCAAACTATAGAGCACTTTAATTTTAGAGAAATACTCTAACGCAGTCGCTTAATTTTATCCTAATCAAGCTTTTTTTAGTTAAACTTTTTAGAAAATAAATATACTACTTCCATATTTTTCAAATAACTGAAAGATCAAGCAATAATTCATGTAAAATTTAACTAATTTAGTATGATAGTTGTTGATATATTTTTTATAATAACTTGGGTCAAATTTAGAGAAATTTGATTTAGCACAGACCTAAAGTGAACTGTAATTTGGAATTGAGAGAGTAAACAACAAGATCCAACCTAAGTTGAACTAAGAATAAATTATTCAGCCAAATTCGAGTAGAGTGAACTCGAACATGGGGTTTATACACCAACACTACACATCAAGGTAGTCACTTAAAGTTTTTTTTTATTCTATTAGTTAGGTTATTTTGTCAAGTTCCTTAAGGTTTTTTTGATGCATGTGTATCCACTTTAATTCACATGTGTTGGAGTGTATTGAAATGAAATTTAGTTTAATTTCACTCCAATTCACTTCAACATATGTGGATTGAGATAAATACATGCGCATCAAACAAGACCTAAGTTGGCCTTTTGGGGGTTTTCAGTGAACCGCGAAAACATGAAATTGACCTATACAACCATAGGTACCTGTTGCACGTGCAGGTTGCAAGGGTTTTCAGCTGTTACCGCTTGCTAAACATGAAATTTTCACCTACACAACCATAGGTACCTGTTGCACGTGCAGGTTGCAAGAATTTTGTGCGCGGCTCATTTTGTCACAGACGCCTAAATAATTGAGACTGTAGCAAGTAGCCTTCACATGTGCGACAGTATGACTAAGCTGATCCTGACCACACTGCTTGAATTCCTCTTGATCAAGCACAGATCAGACTTCAGAGGGTATGTTTGTCTCTGTTTGTTCAACTGTCTCCTTCAGAGCTTCGCCTTTTTCATTTGTACGAAACGGTATGTCCGTAAGGTCAGAGGGAGAGGTTGTTTCTATGATTCTGGCTTCAGACCGGGACTTCTATTTCTATGACTCTGATAGTGTAGTAGCAATAGCAAAGCTCTGTATCTTCAGAATGTGTGCAGGCTCTGCTCACAGCTATTAGCTGTGGATCGGAGCACTGGAACTACTGCGAAATGTAACGTGATGGAGTACGATGCAGCACTAGCTCGTGGTCGTGGAGGCAACGCAAAGTGGATTGGAGTACGTGACAAAAGTCATAGGCACCAACTGTGTCGTGCCGTGCCACTCGTCGGGTTGGAGAAACGGACGGTCGGGATGACACCCATTATGTCCATCCGTCAGACGCGACATGCAAACGTACAATTATTCCAGCGTCCGGCCGTTTACCCACCCCCATGACTTTGGTATAAACTCCAGCTCCCAGCACGATGGCCAGCGCCCTGCAGATCGAGCGCGCGCGCGCACACACACACATGCACACCGGCAGTGCCACAGCGCGTGGCAGAGCCGAGCGAGCGAGCGAACCGGTCGGCGGCCGCGCGCGGGCGAGCATGGACTGGCACGCGTGGCTGTCGGGGGCGCGGCTGGAGCCGGCGCTGGTGTATGGGTACGCGCTGGTGTTCGCGCGCAACGAGCTGGAGGCCGACGACGTGGCCTTCTTCGACCACGAGTTCCTCCACAGCATGGGCATCTCCGTCGCCAAGCACCGCCTCGAGATCCTCATGCTCGCCTGTCGCGACCGCCGGAGCCGCGCCCGCCCCGCGGCGCTGGCCCGGCTCCTCCTCGGCCGTGTCGCCAGGTACGTCCGCTCGCTCGTGCGCCGCGACGAGGATGGCTCCACGGCGCTCGTGCTGGTCCCGAGCCAGCTGCAGCACCCCGACGTCGTCGGCCGCAGCCCGTGCGCTGCCGGCGTCTCCAGGCACAAGCAGCAGCGCCGCGGTGGCAAGGCGCTACGGCGTGCCAAGTCGGAGCCCAATAAGGCGCCTGCGCCCAGGGCCTCCATCGGCGGGAGGGCCGCCGCGGCCGTGCACGCGGTAGGCGACGTGGAGAGCGGCGTCGGCGACGAGATGGTCAGGTGGGACCGCCTGTTCCAGGACCTCAAGCCCAACTGACGCCGCCGCCATTTGCCACGTCATCGAAGTGCTGCTGGGACGACGATCAGTGTTCAGAGTGCTAATAACGGTTGTGCTTGTGTTTGATAAGTGAGTGTGGTTGCTTTGCTGTCGATCTTGTTTGCATGTAATGTACAGTCTACGTTAGTCAATGCTTGGAACTGGCCATCGGACGTCTGGTTTTGCCGTCTGATGGGCTCTCGGCTTGAAGTTGTTGACGTGTAATAATTTAATTAATAAACATGGTGATCTCTGCAGTCTGCTTCTGTTCTTTCATTTGAACGAGTTTATATCCTGTTCATTTGCGTTGCCAGGAGTTCAGCCAACACATGATGATGAACTGCTGCATTTCTGTAGTACATGTTCGCATTTCGATCAAACCAACATCAATTTGGGGGTTTGATCACTAGCTCCCATGTAGTGGTTACTCGTAGACCGTAGTAGTTTGGTGTGGGCATTTGGTACGTACCATGTACCAACAGCGACCCGTGCTACCTTGCCTGATCGGTACAGATCGAGCAACCCTGCACGTACTACCAGTTTATGGCAGAGACATAGTACCATACCCGATCAAGCGACACCATATAACTGCAACGCCATCACCATCGGTTTGCACGACGGCATCTGGTCTTCTTGATCTTGCAAGGTTTCAGCGATGGCATCTGCATCACGAACAACAGCCTGCGCTGTCCACGGTAACTTCCACTGAACGTTACCCAGGCCAGGAAGCACCCATCAGTCAGTATTCAGTACTGTGTTGTACTACCAGAAACTACTGCACCCAACAAACAACCGTACAACAATTCATGTTCCTAAAGAGAAACAGTACCACCACCGTTGCAATGTAATTGTTTCAGCCGATATGGACAGCTGTGACACCTAACAAATTTAATAACCGAAGTAAAAAAAGAGGTGGGCCTTGTTTAGATTGCAAGTTTTTTCACCCTCTTCATCGCATCAAATCTTTAGACACATGCATAGAGTATTAAATGTAGATAAAAAAATAACTAATTACACAACCCCTGTCCGCTTGCTCGTAAACGATCGTAAATTTCCAGCCGGGAACAGTGTTTTTCTCTCACACCAAATCAGCCAGCAGTAAATAATCCACAATGCGATACGGCCTCCCGAACAGGCTGTTGATTGTAAATTACGAGACGAATCTTTTGAGCCTAGTTAGGCTATGATTGGACAATAATTGTCAAATATAAACGAAAGTGCTACAGTGCCAAATACTTATTACTAACCCCAATCTAAACAAAGCCGTGGTTATAAAACTTAAAAGTCTTGAGTCTCAGTGTGTCCCCGATGTATACTGGCTTGTGCAGCTTGAACCGCCGTGGAAGAGACCCACGTGAGTACGTGAGGAAGCAGCTCCAACCAAGAAATCATCGAACTCAATTACTAGTGTTGATTGCTTCCATTTCCCAGGCAGACTGCAAGCTGACAAT